TGCTCCCAGATCCACGGGAACGCGCAGCCATGTCTAAGCGCAGATGGGAGAAGCTTCTATGCAGATCGCGTGCCCTCCTGGATATGTTTGAGGAAAAATCCAAAGATAGCCCTGACAAAGTTATTGCCGCGCTAGAGTTGCTAGCGACTTTGATCGCCGTGAAACTTTGGGTCCCTGACTCCAAAGAACGGCAAGTTTCAAGAGTTGCTATCAGGGGCTATACGGACAACCAGACCAATGAGGCCCTGGTAAAGAAAGCGATGACTACTCAAATTTCCGTCAACGCTAGTCCTACTTGAGCTGGCAGAAGAGCTAGCCTTCAAGTCTTGCGAGCTAGGCCTGGCGTGGATCAGGAGAGATGCTAACCAGCTAGCGGATGATCTTACGAATGAGACCTTCAAGGAGTTTTGTCCCGAATTTCGGGTCCCCTTGAAGGGCGAAGATATCCAATGGCGAGTGCTAGATAAGCTGTTGGAGCACGCCGACAACCTTGGGAGGAGAACCTGGGGTTGGTGGTGGGCTAGTTAGTAAGGCTAATGCACGCACTCGTAACGAGGTACGAGGGACGACCGTGTGTGTTAGCTAAACTTACTTCCTAGCGAAAAGGTCGAAGGTCCTTCGCAAACCCTTTTTGTATTTGCTAAACTCTGGGGAGTTTTGATACGGCAAGATATTTGCTACATATCCGTTGCCGTTTTTGGTATCAAGCCCCCTACGTCAAGGGGGGGAAATTTTGAGTTCCCACCCTACCCGCCCTGTGTAGAGTCGAGAGATGGCTAGCTGAAAGCTAGAGACTTCTCTCGGGCTACAAGGAGAAGATGGCTAGCGGGTTGCTAGAGACTTCTCTCCGTAGTTACAGAGAGCGGACTTTCGCCACCAAGCTAAAAAGGCAGGAGTGCTTTAGCTAGGGCTTTGCCGGTGTGTGCAGAACACGACAAGTGTTTGGTGTTGCAAACTAAAGTGCTAACGCAAGTGGGCTGTGCTTGAGTTTCTGTCCTAGCTAGCATATGCTAGCAAAGCAAGTTTCCACCGGGAAACCTTGGGAGGAGAACCTGAGGTTGGTGGCGGGCTAGTTAGTAAGGCTAACGCACTAAATCGTACTACAAATTTTGTACTGGAATCAACGTTTCCGTGAGCCGGCTTGATTTTCCTTAAATCGTAGTACAAATTTACCGCCGCAAATACCGTGGTGCTGGAATTCGGCGGTTGGGAAACCACCGCAAATACCGTGGACTGGAGTTCGGCGGTTGCGAAACGGCAAATACCATGGTACTGGAACTCGGCGGTTGCGAAACCGCCGCAAATACCGTGGTACTGGAACTCGGCGGTGACGAAACCACCGCAAATACCGTGGTACTGGAATTTGGCGGTATACTGCGGCGATCGAAACCGTGGTACTGGAATTCGAAGGTTGCATGCAACAACACCGCAAACGTAGTACTGGAATTCGGCGGTTGCGAAACCACCGCAAATACCTTGGTACTGGAATTCAGCGGTTGCGAAACCACCGCAAATAACGTGTAAGCTGGAATTTGGCCTGCTGTTTTGGCCAGCTGTTCTCGACCTTGTGATTCGTTGACGCCATCCTAAACATTAAATCCTAAACTACAAACTAACCCACCACAGCACTTACACCGCGCACACACACCAAGACACCTACACCGCGCACATGCGCCACAGCAACTGCACCGCACTGCGACCGCGGCACCTAGAACTGCCAGATACGCACCCCTTGCTAACGTGGAACTGATTGCTTTCGGGATAGTCGGGGTCTAGTTCCTGGAAGGACTTGGGTTTAGGGGTTGGCTTAGTGGTTAGGGTTTAGGGGGATGGTGACTTACTTTGGTTTAGGGTTTAGGGCTGGGGGATGAAATAGGTGGGACTGCTTAAATTTTGGGTCGAGGGTCTAGGGCTTTGGGCTTGTGAGACCCTCGTCCCTAGCAGGACCTCTCTGCCGACTCTCGAACTCGTGTCATAGATCTCAGCAAGACCGGTTTGAGCCGATGCTTTCGCTGCAGATGGGTGAGCGCCTTTCCTGCGGTGCTCAGAATTTTTTCCTGTAGCTCTGGAAAAAGGAGGCTCGCAAGAAGGGCAACGTGCCTCGCATCACAGGAGCTTGGGGAGATTCGACGGTAAGCACCGTCTTTTACCAGTCACTACTTAATTAGGGGTTCGGTTGCTTAGACGGGCTGGCTTCTCTGGCGTCCCTTCTCTCTGTTTGTTGTTTGTTTCTCTCTTTGGGCGTGTCCAAAACAGAGCATGGATGTACTCCGTTCCCGTCTTCTTAAGAATTCTTCCAGACCAGAAGTTCGCTGTAGCTTTCGATGTATTCCGTACCCATTTTTTATTCTTCTGTTCAGCCAAAAGTTCGCTCTATTACTACCCCATGTATTCTTACTTATTCTTAAGAACCCAGCACGATGGACGAGAAACGCACAAAGAATAGATACCTTTGACCCACGTTGTAGCAAATTATATTCCATGAGAATACTTTCTTCATTTAAATAGGATTGCGATAACTATGCAAAGCTCAAAACAGCCAACACATACAAACGGGTTGGCATTTTCTTTTCTCCGCAAAAATTCTCCACCACAAAAATAAGTTAACTTGAGAAAAGTGGATGCGCCAGTTCCCTGCCGGTGTTTCTTTTGATCCCGTAGAAATTCAATATAGCCAGCAACACAGAGGCCAACAAATTTTGATTTTTCAGGTAGTGCTAACACTTTTCTCCATAAACAAGGTCCGAAATTGTATTTCGAAAACTTCCAGTGACAGCCATAGCTCCGAGTTCAGCACGCAGATTTCCGAGAATGCGTTGCGGGTTTCCGAATTGCCTGAAATCAGTAGCTGTGGTTAGTTTTTGTTATGAAATGGAACAGCTGCGCGAGGATATGGTGTTTGGAGTTTGCGAAGCCGACGCTCGAAAACGACATTCCCACACGCTTTTCCATGTTTTTGTTAAATATAGAGCAGCTGTGACCGTGAATTGGGGCATTTTTTTTTTAAGCCGCAGTTTTTTGCTAATTGGGACTCAGCAGTTGTGATATTTCTTTTCAATAAAGTACTTGTAGCGTTTCACATTGAGGAGAAAAACAGCGGTGGTATTTCGGCTTTAGCGGTATGGTTTAGTAAAAGGGCCGCAGCTGCGGTATTTTAATAAGAAGTAACAGCTGTGGTATGTATTCCTTCTGAAAAAATAGAACAGTTGCGGCAGTTGTATTTAATCCATGAACCGATCGTGCGTTTTTGAAGCTTTATGAAGCTCTCAAAACCGAACCGTTCCATTCGTCACCAAGAAACAGGGAAGCCGCGATAGTTCATATTAACAGATAAAACGGCTCGGTTGTGGTATCTCCTTTTATGAAATGGAACGGCAGTGGTAGTTATAACTAAGCATTAAGCCACTTGAAAGGGCGTATCATGTTTGGAGTTTTCGGAGCCGAAAATTTTCAGAATGAATTCCCAATTGCTTTATGTCTTATTGAGAAACAAACAGTGTAGCCACAGTTCCGTTCGGGTCGGTTTGTCAGGAACTTAACCCTCTATGAACCTTTGACCAATTCGAGACGGTTCGATTCGTACGGTTCGGTTCCACGGTTCCTCCCGTTCCTATGGTACAAGAGGGTTCAGATGCTGCACTTGCATACATGATTCCACCCGGATGTTTCAGTTTCCCATTATTACGGGGTTGCTGTTAAGAAACTTCATTTACTTGAATATACACCCACGATAGTAACGGTATAGAGATTGCTCACCAGCAGCCCAGATTATTTTAGAAGTGTCAATGAGGGCGTATAAGTCCAGGAACTCGGAGCCACCCTGCGTTGTAGGGGCTGTTTGCCTCAAGTCTTTGATTATGAACAAATGAGCAAATAGCGCAGCATCCTTTCGGGCCCCCAGTGGAGAGGGGGAGTTTAGGACTTAGGGATGCGTAGGGGTTCGGGAGATTTAAGCCACAGCGTTCTGAATAAGAACCTTACCATGGTTCGTTTCATTACGGTTCCGGCCGGTTCCGTTCTTTAACAGTTCGATTCCTGAACGTTTCGATTCGGTTCGCCGGTTCATGGTTCGGTTTGGACCATTGGAGGTCACCCTGAACAAAAGGGTTGTGGTATTTCCTTTTACGCAATAGTTGTGTGGTATTTGTGCTAGGAAATGGAGCAGTTGTGGTCGTGTTTGGAGTATTGTTGAGAATATTATGGTTAAGAAAAACAACAAGTGTGGCAGGTCTTGTTAAGAAATGAATCAGCTGTGGCATTTTTCCGAAATAACATGAATAGGTTTGGTACTTCTTCGTATGAAGTAAAGCAATGGTGGGGAATATCATGTTTCGAATTTTCAAAAAAAAACACTCTGAAAACAATACTTTCGCACTTCTCCCAAGAAACAACAGCTGTGGCATATGTTAATAAAAGTGAAGCAGCTGCGGTACATGTGCAACATAAATTCGCAGTTTTCCTTATGACATACACCAGATGTGTTTTTTTTAAAGCACATGAAAAACAGTTCTTTTTCAGCATCGAACACTCTCACTGCTATCCTTCCTTACAAAAGCACACGGCAGCCGTCGCGGGCTTACTCAGAGATACTCGGAAAAATCGCAAAAAGGCACATTACGGCACACTACACAGAAGTTTGTCGGTCATGTTCGTCTCGTAGGTGGTGTTTGTCGCGCTGGCTTGTCGGTGTTGCCACAGGCCCTTGTTGGATCAAGGTGTGCCTGTTGCACTGTTGCGCCGTGTTCGTGCCGCGAAGATTCTCGGTTCATTCAATCCTGGCCCCAGCGCCATTGCAGTTTCCTCCCTTGACCTCGACCTGTGGTTTCTTTTGGTCTTTGGGAGTGTTTTTCTAGATATGTAGGACTGTCGATGAAGCTTTGTGGTCTGTTGTTTGAAGCATTTTGCAACACATGCAGAGACCCAACGTCTGAATAAGTTTCTTTATCTTGTAATGCAAGCCTTGACCACAGTTCGGTTTTAGAGCAGCGCCAGCATATGAGGAATGGTAATAAACTGGTCGGAGCCGTGGAATCCACGTCTCTCAGCGGCATGTGGAAGGGTTACGACTGTCAAAAAATGACGTTTCCGGGTTGTTGGCTGTTGGCATTTGAAGTAGCCTTCCTCTAGGGCCATAGAAATGTGCAACAGCATGCAATATAATTTGGCTTGCATTCTGCATTCCAGGCGTGGTATCCTGCAGCTGGTGCTGGCATATCCGATTGGAGCAATGTCGCTGGTCGTGACCATTCGGTGTGTTTCGCAGGTAGTGGCAATGTCAAGTGATGTTGGGATGTACATTCAGAAAGATCGGGCTGTGTTGGGATGGCGCAAGGCGAATCACTGACTGCGCGTTTTACGTACACTTGTTTCATAGATCAGTTGTATTGACATCAACCGTCTCGTGCCTTGATCATAAACTTTGAGGGCTTTTCAGGCGTTACAAGCTGATGGTACTGTTTTCTGATCATTTCGCTGGCGGTGCGACGGCAGCAACAACAAAAGCGGTTGCAACAACAGACACAGGGCAGACTCAGCGGAAACAGAAACAACAGCAGCAGCGACGCCAAAAGCAAGGTCGGGTTTGAAAAGTGGATGGTGCCTTTTTCCACGATACAATTTGAGATTGCTTTTGCTACTAGGATTATGTCGCATATTTGACGCCGTGTTTTTCTTCACTTCACCATCGTTTTACAGTGTGTTTGGCCGCAATTACAGAAGTGTCGGTGAGCGGGACTTCGTTGATTTGGGAAGCAGCCTTCTTCACATGACCCACATTTTACAGTACACATTGCGTTTTTGCACGTTTTGAATATGGGCCTTTTCTGTGGGTGGCTGCCGAAGTGGGGGGATATTTACGTCCATGTCCATGAAGATTTGAGGCACAGCAAGCTCCGAAATCTCCGAAGCAAAATTTTACGCACTCTTACAAGACCCATTCCCCAACATGTGTTTGTTTTGACAAGTCTCATTGAGGATTTTAAGGAACAGCCTCTTGACATTTTGAGTTTGAAGGCTATCGCGACCCTAGGCACAGCAAGCTCCAAAAAAAACCTGACACACTCGTGCAAACCCGACTCCTGAAGATTTTATGGGTAGCAAACGGGCCCAGGAATACTTGACTGATACGATTCAGGATTTGGAGGATAGCAAAGGGCCCAGTAATATTTGACCTGTACCATTCAGGATTTGGAGGATAGCAAAGGGGCCCAATAATACCTGACCTACAGTATTAAGGATTTTGAGGATGGCAAAAGACACATTGCGGCGAGACATGGCCAAACGATTTGTCGAAAAGTGCTGAGAGTCCTGCGCTGGCCACATGGTCCCGAACGCATGTCCGGAAGTTACGCGCAAAAACAAATGCGTCAAACAAACGGCGTCGACCTACTACTACTACTACTACTACTACTACCACCACCACCACCACCACTACTACTACTGCTGCTACTACTACTGTAGCACTAGTACTAGTACAAGTACTACTACTGCTGCTACTACTACTACTACTACTACTACTACAATTACGACAACTACCACAAAGACAGCAACTACAACAACAACTACTATCAATAATAGTACTGCTACTACTGCTGCTGCTCCTGCTCCTGCTCCTGCTCCTGCTACTGCTCCTGCTACTGCTACTGCTACTGCTACTACACTTGTTTTTATGTGAAGACGACTACTACTACTACTATTGCTACTATTTTGATTATTATTGTTACTACAGCAGCTACAACAGTACGACCACGACTATGACAATGAGAAGCCGCCCTCTGCCAACCTCATCTGCACAGGGATGGGCTGGAGATCGAGTGACAAGCAAGGGCTGGACATTTAGGCATTTTTCAACATACTGTGGTATTTCATGAACTCGTTCACCCCGCCTCCCTTTCCGCCAGCTCCCTCAATGCAGCCCAGCACCCATGCGCATGCCAAACTGGCTGCTGTTTAGACTTCTGAGGCAGGAGGTGGACATGCTACAAGCATGATCTTTTATGAGCAGCAGTAGAATTTCCTCCATGGTGCAGAATGCCAATCACAGAGGTCCGACAAGATGTCAAGGATTCGGCTCCTGAAATGGGACTTGCCATTCTGGACACTCGGACGCTTGGTTGTATGGGAAGAGACTCGCGCATCTCATCGTTTCTTCCCGCAGTTGAGGCCTTGGAGTTTTGATTTTGGGCATCATCCTTGACAGCCTGCCCTTGCTGTTCATCGGAATTGCGGTGTGGGTGCCTTGCTCGCGACACGAGTGCGGTTGCGCTTGGCCGCTTTCAATACACAGCCCTCTGCAAGCGAATGCAAGCGAGGCCCCGTGCTCCCAGTGCTGGAACAGCAGCATGGCAGGAATTAAAATGAAAGCTTGACACATCTTGGCACCCTGCACATCCCCGCACATCCCTGCACATCCCTGCGCATCCCTGCGCATCCCTGCGCAAGCAAAAGGACTTGAGGTGCTGCAGTGCACGCTTATGCCGGCTGAACCTGCCAGGTACTTCTCAGGTCGTCGTGGCTGATTCAGCGCATGCAGGAGAACGGACAAAGGCATTTGTGCTCACCAAAGTACGTTTGTGAGGGAATCTTGCTTTCGGCTTGACAGCAGTGCCTTGAACATATTCGGGGCATCCCTACCAGGCCTACGAATCATCAAGCGCGCAACTTGCGAGGTGGTCTCCCGTATGACCTCCCTCCGCCTCGTGGCAGTCGCGTTTGGACCACTTCTGCAAGCGCTGCTGCTGGTTGCGTCGGGTCAGAACCGTGCCTTCGAACAAGGGGGCTGCTGACCACTTGCAGCATTGCAGCATCGCGTGTCGAAAAGCCTCCTGGCAAGGAATCATTGGGGGAGCGCCCTTCTGCGTTCCGTCATCCTCTCCGGATCCGTGCTTTGGCCTGGCGTGTTAATATGGACGCTGCGACTGCGCGACCTGCCGCCGCTGGAGAAGGCCAGAGGCCAGAGGGGCTGCCATCACACCAATCATCACACCACTCCTTATTCTTTGTGGGCCTACCAGGCACTGGCCGACAGAACGAGCATTCCACTTTTGATTCGAATGACCTAGATCAACGACGTCTTGGCATCCCGATCAGGCTTTCGAAAATCCTATGGCAGGATATGTCCATGCTCAAGTGTTGACCAGACTTTGATGACTGCGCATGCTTTAAAGGTGGTGGCTTGCTGGAACGCTTGAATTCATGTCTTTCGTCACGGCGATAGGTGCTGGCATGACGGTACCTTGTACAACATGGCAGGTAGCTATCGTGATCCCTCCAACACGTGCAACGATACCAGTGAATAGCCAAAGCCCTAATGCTTTGAAGAATGCCAAGGTAAAATTCTTCCCACTGTTCTTCCGGGTGGATTATCACTTTACACCCTTGGAGGTATGCAACCTGGCAGAAGCAAAAGAAGCAAACACCGACGCACTCCTGCATGCCCCTGCAACCTCGCTGTGCCTTTGCTGTGCTCAATGCCGAATCTTTGCTGAGGCATCTTGAGCTGTATATACCCTTTGTGCATCTCAGTCATGGCTCGCACCTGAGTTGGCTGCTCTCAGCTACAGCCCTTTTGTTGGGCCTCTCGTCCGCTCTCAGGTGGAGATCTGTGTTGTTCCCAGCTCTTGCTATCGATGGCTGTTGCATTCGAGTGCTGACAGTTCGGACCTGAGCATGGCCTCATGCTTCAGGCCGGCGGTTGTCCAAACGGCTCGGCCGGCTTTCGGCTGTTCTGTCCGCATCTTTGAGAGCGCAGCAGCACAGCTTTCTGGCACCATAATATGCCTTTGACAGAACTTTCAGGCTCTTCCATTTTCTTGGTGCCGTTCTCAGCTTCAAAACAAAGCTGGCGTAAATACACACTTTGAAGTAATCTTCTGCCAACACACGGCAGGCACTGCATGCCTCTGGGCAATGTGCTACATCCGTTGCTCGGTAATCTGCAGACTTGGTTTTAGCCTAGATGATCTAGATTCGCAGAGTTGTGACCGTCTTCGAGGCTCCATTGTTTTGGTCTTGCCGCTCTACTTGCTCAGGGGGGCGCTAATGAACTCTAGAGGCGAGGCGTGAGAAGTTGTGCATCCGATTCCAGCTTGGTTTGCTACCTGGAGGTCCGATTGTTCGTGCAATGGTCATGGACTTGGTGACCTCTGACTCTCAGATGATCTGTGAGACTGTACAGTACACGCTGGCAGTAGTAACGTACCTATGCCGCGCTCTGAGCAGAACATTCAAAGCTGGCACGTGTTACTGTACCGACATATCATGACCATGCAGACAAGGAACAGCAAAGAAGCAGTGCATGTCGTGCAGGTCATTACAGAAGCCTGTAATTAGCGTCGATATCGCCTTTCGTCGTAGGCATTTGGCTGTTTAATGGAGAGCAAAAGGTACGATCAGATATGACCCGTGATAGGCAGTAGCTGCTTTGACTCATGCTTCGCTGAGGATCTCCGAGGAAGGTGGAATTCCATTCAATCCCTCTCCGGGTTCACATGGTCTGGCAGCGCTGCTCTAGGCAGGAATGTATGCCAGTGACAGTCTTTCCACAGAGATGTGGATCAAGGGACGAAATCGAATCAGCAAATAATCAACATTTGGATCAACAACAAACACAATATCCTGCTGGGCGGAAATCCAAGATAAGATCCTAAGGCAGAAAGGAAGCGCGGGAAGGAAGGAAGGAAGGAAGGAAGGAAGGAAGGAAAGGAGGGAAAGGAGGAAGGGACGGAAGGAAGAAAGAAAGGAAAAGAGTTAATGTTGACTACACAAGCACCCCTCAGTGAATTGATCAATATGTTTTGAGCCGTCGCCTTGCAATAGACGACGTAGTCTAGAGCCCTCATGCCCTCAGTCCTCTCGATTGCCTTTGGCAATATTTCTGATATTCTGGAGCTCTCACCATTTCCTCATGGTTTCAGGCTGAAGCAATAGCATTCTAAAGCTGTCAAGCTACTCTGATCGCTTTACAATTCTCAGGCCTCTCTAATGGCTTCAGAAGGCAATAGCATTTTGGAATTCTCAGTAATTTTCCTGGCAGCTTAAGCAAAAGCATTCTAGAGACTTCAGGCTTCTTGAATCGCTCTCGCAAGAGCTCTCGGGCTTTCCTCATTGCTGTAGTCGCAGCTACAGCATGTTTGGAGCTCTCACTACACTAGTTGCCCCGGCCAAAGCATTTTAAAGCCCTCAGGCCTCTTGTTTTAGCCATGCAAAAAGCTACATGTCCTCATCTTTGTCCATGTTCTGCAGATGGGACCGGCCGCCCCCGCCCCCAAACGCACACAAAACACTGCGAACAGCTATGCCCTCTGACGTAGTACTAGGTCCTGGAGAAAATCGAGCTATCGCGCAGAGCGTGTTCATGTTCCTCATCATTCCTGCATTTGTTTGATGTTTGATCCAACATTGAGCTTTTGATCCCCACCCCATTATCGTACAGCGTGAAATGACGACAGGTGGCTATTTGGCTGACTACGCGGGTGACTACCGCTTCACCTTTGTTGTGCATCAGCTTAACTTAAAACTTGTGTTGCAGAGCACATGTGCGGGCACAAACTTGCCATCCGATGCATGAGGTTGCAGCTTGCGAGTTGTGTAGTGCTGTGCATGTTTAGCCTAGATTCTACTTTGCATTGTTGGCCAAGGTCACGGCTTTGATTTATACGGCGTCGTTTTTCATCGGCTTGCTCCTGGAACGCACAGTTGGCTTGTAGTAGGAAATTTGATTCCGAGGAGAGTATCCCTACATCCTTTTTTGCATCCTCTTGCAGGCCTCTCTATCTGATATATCCCAGGGAGGCGAAGGCTGGGGTCAGCAGTAATGCGTTCTTTCGAGTCCTGCCCACACCTGCCGGCAGAGAGGGCCCACATTTGGGGGCATATATTGGTAATGTCCTGTCACAGGTTCTCAGGATGTTATGGCACAGCATGGCATAGCAGATGATGAGGTTCAAGTGGGCTGATCCCAAATGCCATGTTGCTATCCTTGCATCCTAGTTCCCCTTTCGATTTTGGCGTTTTCATTCGACCAGCCTGACATGTGAACTGTCCATGCCTTGCCGGCTGTCTAAAAACTGCATGAGAATGAGGGGCGATTCGTTGGAACGTATGACTCTTGTCGCATAATTCTCATCATATAAAATCAGTTCTTCTGCGCAGCTTGTTGTGTTTTCCAGACTGGCACATATGCTATGGTTTGCAGCTCATTGGAGGCATTCAAGTCTATCCGTGTCCCTCGGTAGACTGGGATGGAAGCTGATTCCCACAAGCATTCAGGCAGAGGTATGTTGGGATGCTGCACAAGCTGCCAGTACTGGGAGACGGACTGCGCAAGTTCACGCGGTTACCTTTTGAACCAGGTCGTTGAGGCGTTTCTTGTCAACCTTCACGTCGCGCAGGCTTTTCATGGCTCTCCCTCCACAGTGAGTGACGTTTTGCTGCGTTTGGTCTGAAGATGGGGGGCGGAGCGGGGAGGCGCGAAAAAAAAACACCGTTTCCTTCTGACGTTTGGAAGCGCAAGCACAGGCATTTTTAATTGATGCCCGCGCCATGGATTCTCAAGGCCAGTTTGCACGATCGAACCTAAGTGCTGCAGGCCACGCCTCCAGACTCGAGACTTTCGCAGAACGACCTTCAGCTTGGTCCTGACAAAGCTGCGGGCATCTACGGGTATGCAGTCTGATGCGCATGGTGCGTGCCATTCTGAGGCCAAGCCCATGCGGAGCAACAGAAAGAGCGCCTGCAGGTCAGTTGACATATGTCGTCTGGGCGTAGAGGAAGAGCTGCATATCTTGCAAGGTCCCAGTGCGAGAGGATGAGGCTCATGGTCTTTTGTCTGATGCACTCTTTGACCAAATATGCCCATGCTGTTTGCTTGAGGAGGTGTGATACCAGGTGCTTCCTTGAGCGGTCGATTTCGGCTGCAGTTAGAGGGAGTTCGTCGCAATCCAGTGCTTGCAAAGCAACGCTGATGACAGAAGTCTTAACATGGTGTCGAATCTTTTTGCCGCTGAAGAGGGCTTTGATATTGCTCACCCAGAGAGCATGTAGCCTCAGTCCGCAACTGGGGCCATCTACCCTCCCAAAATCGCATACATGGTAGCACGTGAAAGGTATAGTGCGCTAGCGGGCTCAGTGCAACTTGCGCGCATGTTGTTGTGTTAGCACACGCGCACCGTTTGATCTGGCAGCAGTTTAGTCTCAGGGTCAGGTGTAGCAGCTGCATTGCCAAGTCGCTGAGCTACGCTGTGGGAAGGACTACTTGAATGTACCAAGGCGCTCATATAGGTAAGCCCATTGGCGAGACAAAATGTGCTCCTATACACAAGGAAGATGCCTGCGTGCTGCAGCAGGCTTGCAGGTATGCCGGGTCTGTTGACCGGAGCAAGGAAAAGTGCAAAACCATGCAAAACCGCAGAACCGCGCGTGTCAGGCACAAGAGCAGAAGCCGCGCGCGAGCCGGATGTGGGTCGTGGGTGCCATGGATGATAAGCCCACCTTGCCCTGCTTCAGCCTGAGGATGTCAGGCTGACCAAGGCGGAATGGCAAAAAATGGCAGAAACCTTGGTCTGAGCAGGAGGTCGGGAAGGAAAAGCGCGAAAAACCTGGCGTCCTTCTCTGGAACCAAGCGCGTTCGCAGCCGCTGTCATGGTCACAACAGGGCTCTGCTGGGGCCTTTGGATGGAGCTTCCTTGCCCTGCATATTCGCAGACGAGACCTTCCACCTGGCCAATTGGCTTTAGGGCTGCAGGTCCCCTCAGACCGGCGGAATCTGTTTCATTCAGGCTGGCTCTCTGTCCGATGCGTAATTTTGCAATTTTAAGTATTGTCCGAAGGGTCCATTTCCGTCATGAAGATTCCCGCAACGTGATATAAAACAGTACATCCACCTTCCCACGTAAGATCAGGTTTAAATCAAGGGCAAGCGTACGCATCTCCCTGACAACGGCCTCCAGCTGATCCTCAGGGAAATAGTTAGTAATTAGGGTGGATCACCGAAAAACAATTGCAGTCACGACCAAAACGTAAACGTTGTTGACCAAACATTCGTCACCGGGCACCGTGCTCACTTGCTCATGCTCTGCTGCATTCACCTTGATAGCATCCCAAGCTTCTCCTGGGCCAGCGTCCGCAACTTTTTCCGCGTCGTTGACAGGTAGAAAAAATGGCCCCGCAACATTACACTCACCGATATCTCCCAGATCCTCAGACTCTGCACAATCTGAGCGGACTCAGGCTTAGAGCAGGAGCGTGTAGAAATTGTCACTGTAACGGCAGGGCTATCGAACCAGGGTGGATGCCATGAGGACTTATTTGATCTGCCTATCCATGTGTACTACGGTGCACTTGTCTTGTGACAGTGGTGTTGTGGAATCCGCATTATGGAAGAGACTTTCCCCGGCCGACGGCCGTCATCCTCAACTTCCAGTCGGATCACCGTGTCTCTGCAAATATCAACCACATAATTACCTGGCATTCTGAATCACCTGGCTGACAAGCTCAGCCGGTCATCTGGCCATGCTCAACTGGGCTTTCACCAGTCACCGCATTCTGTGCCTCCCTGGCTTTCCTGGCTTCCATGCCTGAAATACATGCGAATCTGACTTGGCATTTGGTCTCTGTTCGCTGCAGTGTCCTGAGTGGCGGTTTGGGCTGTATCCTGTCCCTGCGGGTCAATCCATTTCTCTGATTGTCACTGCACTTTCTGCCAACTTTCTGCCATTGTACACAACAAGCGTGAGAAACGAGTGAGGTCCTTCTTAGCAGTGTTTTATGATTGTTTTATGCTTTCGGTCTTTGAAATCCAGACGTAGTGGACTAGCCAGTTGAGCAAACACATGGAGTTCAAGCAATCTCGAATTTTTCATGATTTAGCTGGACTTCAACGGGTCTGTCCGCCTGCAACATAAGATCGACAGATTTGCTTTGCTGCTTTTGGTTGGAGCATGTTGCTGGTAGCCATCTGGGGCTCGCTGACCAGCTGCATTCATTCTGACATATGTAGCTTGTCAAGTTCAATTACAACTGTTGAGGGAGAATACTTTGGCAACTCTACAGCAGCAACTAACCCGAGTCATCAACTCGCTTGTCATGTGAAAGCAAGTTGCTTGCCAATAACCTGGTCGGCCCTTGAAGGGGCAGTGGCAACATGCCAGCAGCAATATTGACCTCTGAGTCTGTGCCTCAAGAAGCTCAAGCCCATTTTCTCAAATGCATGTTTGTTACCGTAGGAATAACTCAATTTTTGCGAAGTCGAAGTTGCAAGCTGCCTCTGGGTTTGCCAAACATGTGTGCTTCCAGGTCGCACGTGACAGCCGGTACTCAGTCTCCTAGAGTTCAGCAGCTCATGGTTGTGGTGGCCTCGGGACAGGAACTGATCTCTGCAAATTGCATATTTTTCTTAGTGGAAATCCGGGTTTCTTGGGTGCACAATGATTTTTTGAGGCGCCCACTTTGCCGTTGTCCCTTCCCAGAGAGGCAGGTTGCCATACATCTTCAAATACAGGATTGCAGGCGGCTTTGTTACCGTCATGGCATTT